AGTAAACATTACAGATTGCGTAATTCAAAGTTGGCCGAGTGGAGATCTGCGTCTGGTGTCCGACAAAAAAAAAATAAAAAAAATAAACCAAGGGTAGAACATGAACCGCGCTCAGCCCATGGCCGCGTGGTTAATTATAATATTGATTTTATAATTTGTAGCCTTATCCCATTTGATGCACAATGTACATGTAAAGCCATGTAATTCAGAAATCCTTACCCCAAGTAGGCTTGGAGACGTAAACCACTTCTGAAGAGTAAAATTTCTTCAAAAACTCCATTCCAAGACGAACACTGCCAGTGCCAGAAATGGCTTGAGCTGCACAAACCTTAATGAAATATCAAACAGACAGCAATACATGACTGTATAACCATATAATCACAAAACCAATATTCAACAACTCAAGTTACAGAGAACATAACTGAAGTTTAAACAGGAGGAGACTACAATAAATTAATAGTCATGTTACAACTCACAGAAGGAGATGAAGAAAACGTTTTTATCCTTTTTGCAGTTTTTAATTTAATATTATAATAATAATGGACAATTAAATTTGGACATACAGGTAAGAATATTAATGATACTGAGAATATAGCAAGAGCAAGAACCTCTCTGTCTGCAGGAAGGTTGCATAACTTTAAATCCCGTATATATACAGCTTGTACAATTTTGTTTGTGGAATTTTTTTTCTGTATGCTTTGACTTATTGTAAAGTCTTTGATAGTCTGTTTTTCTTGCTCCTCTTTTTCTGCAGCCCTTTGTTTGAACCTCTGTCTAACTTAACAATATTAACTTAAATAATGCTACACTGTGATTTCATGTTTTCACACTTTTCAACATGTACAATGTGAAAGTTTCTTTTCTTTTCTGGAAGAGGAGAAATGCCTTGCATCACATACATTGTACATGTGACCAGAGATCAGCTTTAGTCTGTCTCATTCATAACAAAAGCACTCAGTTAAGTTTCCCAAGATCTATAGGATTCCAAAAGTCCACAGTTAAGAAACATAGAAAATATTTCACTTTTTTGATGCAGTCCTCAAAAAATTATTTAGTGGTTTGGGAGCATGAGGAATTCATGTGTTTCCACCATCCAATGTTGTACAGTCAAACCCCTGTTAAGCAGCCACCTATTAAATGGCCACCCCTATTAGGCAGCCAGCAATCAAAGTCCCAATGATAACTTTTCTATTGTTTCTACCTCTTTTAAGCGGCCAACCCCTTTTGAGTGGCCACAGTCCATTTCCCCAAGGATGGCCATTTAATAGGGGTTCAACTGTATTTACACCTCACCCCCTTTTACCAACCATCAATAAGCTGTTCATACACAGTCCCCTTACTCTTTGATGACCAGTAGAGTATAAATATTGGCAAATGCAAAAACAATTTGGCCAGCATAGAGAGCAGAGTGTGATTGAGCAAAGCAAGCTGACGGTGTCCTATCACAGACTACTCTCAACTTGTTCTGGTCACCCTAGAGTGAGTCAAACCACACTTAGCTCACTCCACTTACCACTTCTTTCACCCTACCCCAGTTGGGAGCTTGTTCAAAGGATAGTGACTAGTGTCACACAAGGCCTTTCAGAAAAATTCTGAATCTTAGCATTCCATCAGTCAATTCAAGCTCTGCCCATTCCCCCTAGCAACAGTGGGACATTTTCTGGCACTAGGCAGCCCCGGGCAATTGATCATCTTACTTTTTCACCTAACAGTATTGTCACTTCTTTAAATGACCAGTTCATCAGCAACTACAGTAAGTTTCCTAATGTTTAAGTCTAGATAGGATGTAAATGAGACCAACAGAACAACCTAGCTACACTGTAGGTCTTGATTTGGTCTGAATTATGAACGTAAGATGAGAAATGAAGAAAATAAACCATTTTTGAGCTACTACTCTAAGGCATTTTAACAACTAGTTTGCAGACCAATTGCCAGTTTGTTTAAAAAAACCCTAATATTATTTAGGAATAATTCCAGGGGTTCAGCCTGGGGGCATGAGCACAGCCGCAATGGACCGTTTTCGATATATTAAAATTCAGCATGGCAGTGAGGCTTAGAAGACACAAACAAAGGAAATTGAATGACCATGTTTGTGTCCTCTAGGCCTCACTATCAAGTTGAATTTTAATATATCGAAATTGGTCTATTGACTGATGTCTACAATAAAAATGTGCCACCCAGTCCCTAAAGAATTACCTGTACGTCTTCTCAACTACTGATCATGGGACTCCCTTAAAGAATTCCTTAACTTTGCATCTGAAATTTCCACCTTGGTTTGTAGAGAATAGACCAATTTCGATATATTAAAATTCAGCCTAACACAATAAACCTCAGCACAAGGCTCTGGGGAATAAACCCTACAAACTCTGTAGTTATTCCCCAGAGCCTCATACTGGGGTCAATTGTTTTAGGCTGAATTTTAATATATCAAAATTGGTCTATTATGCACCAACACGGGGTTCAGATATTTTTAACATTTGCTATATTTTAGCTCAATGTTCCAAAGGACATGAAACACCAGCATTATATATTGCATCATTTTCTTATTTCTCTTTGTGTAGGGTTTTCCTTGCACAGCTACAATAATTAGTTCTAACTAGCGCCAACTTTGCTATTCAACATACCCTATTTTCTGCCAGTGCAGGATTGTCGTCTCCAAGGAGGAGTTTGGACGCAGCATCACTGAACGCCCCGAGACCGTCAATTTGTAAGTACTCGTGGTTCAGGGTTTTTGCTGAAATTTCTTCAGCTAGCCGCTTTTCAACATTCGCAACAACTGGTAAGACCATTGGCTTCCCATCATTATCGCGATAAGCTGAAAAAGCCACAAATCAGGAACAAAAGTTCAGCGAAAAGGGGACATAAATTATAAATTGGGACCTCGCGTTCTGTCATCTTTTTCAGCCAACTTCTTTTAAATTTTTACCTCCTATTCCCATGTTTACTTTCCTGGGATCTTGGTCTTCATTGTAGCTATTGTTGACTTGGAAGACATGATCCAATGGGACAAGAGGAACATCCTTGAAGATCGAAACGCCCGCCATGTTGTGCAACCCACAAAGACTTATTTCGATCGATTATCGTTCGTGTCGTGCTCCGACTCATTCCGACCCCCAATTGACTAAAGCTATGACGTCAGGATATATACAAGAGCTATTTTCAGTGCAGCAAGGAAATGCACGATTTAAGTCCTATTTCTGAAGAATTCTTTTGATTTTGCTAAAATCAAGGATGGGATTATTTGGACAAACACCGAAGCAGACGCCTAAGGAACAGGTCTGTTTGATTTGCGTGCTGTTTTATGGTCATAAACTGTATTGTTAGAAGTAGTTGCCCAAATGATGTTTTACCATCGGCAATATTCAAACACATCAGATGTCGATTGTATTGCATTCCTTATTTTCTTGTCATACTGTGTTGGTATCCACGCACTATATTTTCAAAGGGAAAGAAAGTTAAACAGATCTTTGGACGGCTTGTCACGCAGGGCTGTCAACTGAATGGTTGCCCGCCAAATCAAATGATTATTTCAAAGTGAAAGTACAGTATTTCCTGAAAACAAACTGTAAAATGGAATCTAAACTTGAACTCAGCTCTCTACATTTTAATGCTTAAGCTTTCTAATGCTGTCAAGGTCCTTTATGAACAAAATACATATACGTGTACAGCAAGATGCAGTTTATAATCCAAGTTGATTGCATGAATACTGAATGCTAAGTGACTTGACTCATACAGCTGAATATATGGAGGATATTTCATGGCCACATGGGGATTTGAAAATTCTCTTTGAGAAGAAAAATTTTGTATCTTCAAGAAGCCATGTAATGTTCTATTTATTATATAACACCAATGAAATAACAAGCCATTTAGCTTTTGCTGCGAAAGATGCCAGTTATTAAATGTAACCTTAGCAACAGTGTTCTTTTCACATGTGAAGATAACATGTTATTTTCATGTGTGAAGATATCATGTTTTTGCGCAAAAGCTCACCTGGTATTTCATTGTTGTTTATATAATAAATGCAAGTCTCACATGTTATACCTTGGCCACCTAGAAACTGCAAGAGTCTAAGAATGAGAGTTCTGTACCAAACTGTCCTTCAACACTCAACAAGTGTGAGCCAAACAAAAGAAACTCTACAGTCTTGTACCTAGTATCCTAATACTCATTAGCATGCAATTACTTGACAAAACAAGCAATTGTGATGTCTTGAAAGAGTTCTCAGGTACTGGACCAATGAAATTGACCAGAACATTAAAAGTTCAAGGATTTTAGTCCCATTTGCTGACAGCAAGACTGATGCACAAATTAACCATGCATCCTCTGTTTTTGGACTTTTAATCAGAACTTCTCTTACTTGGTCACTTACTTTCCACTCACTGGTCAAGGAGAATTAGGACTGAATACAAGAATGGGTTGTTCTCAAGAGTAATTGAAGGCTTTCGTGCAAAAAGGGCGTATATAGCATTTTGGCCCGATTTTTATTTTTTGCAGGATTGAGCTAATTTTTGGCAGACTGACTTGTTTTGACATGAAAAGCATTGTTGCATAATTGTTTTTGTTGATTTGCGCTTCGTTTTCAAGAAATAACGTATGCAAAAAAACTCAGAAGGCTGTGGTCTAAGAACAACTATGAGGAGCCCATGGTTTCCTACCTGTGAAATCCTGGGTGCTTAGCATTTACAGTTAAGCATACAGTATACTTACTGTATATGAAAAAAGTAAGTTTTTCTGGTTGCCCAAAGGCAAAAGTTAGTCACCTGTGGTATCCGAGCACTTCTAGAGCACAGCCCTGTGCATACATTTCACTTGCATTTCCTGTGCACATTTAATCCAGACTTTTCTCTGTTATTGTTGGTCCATTGTTTTCAATCATCATTACCTGTTCCAATTCACTTGATACATGTAAACAGGCTTTTTTAAATAAAATACTCATCAAACATTTGGTGATAAAAAAGCAAACTTGCATGCATATTGTACACGCATAGTTATGGTAATTCCTCTGAAATAAAAGNTTTTTATTTTTTGCAGGATTGAGCTAATTTTTGGCAGACTGACTTGTTTTGACATGAAAAGCATTGTTGCATAATTGTTTTTGTTGATTTGCACTTCACTTTTCCAAGGGTCTCTTTGGGAGATCTTTTGTTGAGCGAAAAACAAAAGAAACCTTTTGTTTTGCTAAATGATGAGGTCACCGAAGCGTGGTATCTGCCCCTAGTTTTATTATTCATATAATTACACAATTCTCTTTCTGTTGCTTTGTTAGCGCAAGCGAATAAGGCGCTGAATGTGCTGGATTGGAGTTTGTTTTGTCGTGACACCGGTGAGGTTGGTCGATTGTTTTTTTTTTCCGGTCTATTTCTCTACTTCTTTCAAAAATCAAAACATTTATTTAAAAAACACCGTGCTGTCGAAGCTGCTAAAAGTAACCATTTAAGTTTGTGCTGCGTCAAAATCCACCTTCGAAGGATTCGCTCCAAAAGATGCTGCTCGGAAAACTGAGTTTTTTCGCATATGTTATTTCTCAAAAACAAAGTGCAAATCAACAAAAACAATTACGCAACGATGCTTTTCAAGTCAAAACAAGTCAGTCTGCCAGAAATTAGCTCGATCCTGCAAAAACTGAAAATCGACCTAAAATGCTATATACGCCCTTTTTGCAAGGAAGCCTTCATTTATTTATCAGCTGTCACAAACTCACAAGATCTTGATTATCTTCTTGTAGTTTTCTGTGTTTTTCTTCTAGCGATGAGTAAGCAAGTTGTAGGGCCTGAAATTCATCTTTTACCATCTAGTAATTATAAGCAAAATAAAAACTTTCAATTAACAGATCAAGAAGATATTTGTTTTTGAAGGTTGGACTGGAGAGATAAGAATACTTTTTATGTCAGCAGATTGATAGTCATTTAGAGGAGAGTGGAGAGTGAGAGTTTCAGTGGCTTTAATGTTAGCACAGTGGATGCTGGATCAAGCAGTTCAGGTTAAGATGTTATTGTGCTGGGCAAGACGATTATTATTACTACCACTTTGAATATCTCACACTGGTGAATGTAAGGCTGGGGGGTAACCCTGTGGTGGACTGGCAAGTGCTCCATTCAGGAGGAGTACAAATTCTCCTTCAGACCTAGTAGCTTAATGCCATGGAAACTGTGATAAATTCCTGCAAGATACCTGGACAATAATATTGAGTCCAAAGCAGACTTTTAATTTCTTTCGGTCTTTAACCAGAGCAGGGTTTATAACTGGTGTTTCAGTGGTCAATTAGGTTTTGGTGTCAGTCTGATCTCATATCAGTCCACTGCTTGTGACATGTATTTAATAAGAAAATATTTTGTTTCCATGAATGACAAATTGACTTCACCTGACAAGTTGCATCTAATTCTATTATTGTCTGCTGAAGGCTCTGACACTCTTTGTCAACTGATTCTTTATTGATGGTTAAATCCTGTAATCTAAAAATATGGGCAAAAATGTCATTTCAAATTTTACTGACAAAATAAAATAATATACAACTTGCATTAGGTTACAAATAAATTATTCATTCCCAGGTATGCTGTCACAAAGATAAATCAAGAAACTAAGGAAATTGCATCCTTACGTTGGATGCTCAAGTGGAAACAAACTCAAAATTCTTCAGTTTTTGCCACTCATTTTTAAGTTGGAATGTTTCATCTCCCTCTCAAGCCCAATATACTTCATGAACTTTCTGTTAAACACATTTTAAGGCACATTGTATTTATTTAGTAATTTCTATATTTTCTTTTCAGATGGCACTACTGAGTATTAAGTGTCACAGCACAACTTCACTACTCACGACACCATCTGCTCTACGATAAATTGATTACTCCAGACACTATGTAATGAGAATTAATTGATGTACATCAATCAGTCCTAGAATCTAATTCCCAGTCTACTTACCGTCCATCTTTGGTAGCAAGTTCCTGTTCCTTTTGTCGTAACGTATTGTTGAGTTCCATCAGTTTCTGAGCATTCTAATCATAGCAAATCAACGCAATAAAGACTGTCAAGAATCACTTACACAAAACCACAATTTTTCTTTAATTGGTTACTTTAAAAGTTAAAACTGTTTGGTACCACTTTTTATCATTCGGCTTAACTTAAATGAGTAAAATAAGGGTTGTCACCAAGTCCTGAAGTCCCACATGTTTAATATCAAACACTCAGGACTGTTTGTTAGACCACATTTCTAAACACCCAGAAAAGGGTTGAAAATATAATGCACAGTGGAGGTATTTTTGACAAACTTCAGGGTGTTTCAAAATACGATCAGACACTGTCTTGAGCATTCAATATTAAATATCTTCTCAACTGAAACTATACATAAAACTAAGGAGAAAACTCAGATTAAATAAAACTGAAAAAATCGGTGCTGGCTAATTAATAGTCAGAATGATATGCTCCAAACACTGTCACAGTCATGATTTCCTTTGTTTGAGCTTTATAAATTATTAAATAAGTTTGAGAAGTATGCAGCATCAATGTCAGAGTAACTGGCTGATTCTGCCATCTTTTTGCAAGAATCAGAAAAATAGCTCAGGAGAGTAGCGAGAACAGATCATGAACTAGATAGCAATTTTTGTCAGCTACAGTACTTCTGACAACCCTGAGAAATAACACAGTCATGCAATGTATTTTTATGCCAAGAGCCTGTTACTTGACATAACACCTGCTATGACTGTCTGTTAAAAGATAACAGTGCCAAATTTTTCTTTAATGTACACTGGCCTTATGACCATGCAAGGTTAGTTCCTAGAAGACTGGCATAAAACAGATGGTAAAATGTTTATCTTTGTTTACTTAATAGACATTGTTTGCTGACCTCAATGTAGTAAAAATCAATACTATTCATCTGATGTACCTCTCCCTTTTGCCGATGAAGCTCTGTCAGTTCTTCTTGTAACTTGTAGAGTTTTTGTTCCAATGCTGCAGCTTTTTCTGATCCACCACCCCCTCCAACCCCTCCCCCTGTTAAACTACAAGGAGAACAAAGCACATCAAGATCAGTATGCTCAATTTAAGGGGAGGGGTGGGTCAGTTGACTTAGCACACCTAGTGGTTGATCGACAATGGCAATTTAAAAGTTTTAGAGTTATTTTCATTTGAGTATCGTAAAAGCCAAAAAAATCATTCTAACCAACCATAAAGGACACAGACCATACCGTGAACCAAACATTACATGTAGCTTATGTAACGTGTGGGAAAAGGAGTGCGATTGAGTTACATGTACAATTGCCTTTGGTTTTAGTTCTGATTGGATGGAAGAGTGGCGCATACATGTAGCTGATACAAATTAAATAAATTACTTCGCGACACTCAAATAAAAACCACTCTTTTTCATCCCTGATGTCATCTATTCCAACAACAACTACAGCAACAACAAAACAACTGTCCCATCATATTTCAACTAAACTTTATTGATACAAATTATGGTCTTTTGATATGTATGTGTTCTGACCAATAGGATTATGTACCACTGACCATATTATGAAGTTTCATTTATAAGTACAAATTGAACATTTCTGTACCTCAATTCTTGAACTCGTCCTTGAAGTTCAAGTTTTTCCTAGACAAGGACAGAAATTGAGAGGTTAATTCTAGGCAAGAAATTACAAAATTTAAGCATACTTGTATTGGCGGTAAAATTAAAAACACTTACATGCTCTATGAAGTAGTTCGCCTTAAATATGTCTTACTCAGTACAATTTTTATTGCAGATCAATATGTGCCAACCTCAAGGGGTGACACCTATTCCAGACTCTCGATTTGTGGGGGTGGGTAAAAGGGGAACAATGCGGGCATGAGCACAAGGGTGATCTGAGTACAAACCCCTTGCCTTTTTTCCACTTGTTCCTCACACCACTCTAACCTGCGCCAAAAAAATGCCTGGATCAGGGTACAAGGGTGGCAGAAAATGATAGATGATGAATGATGTCAGATGTGAGCTTGAAGAGATGGTGACAAGTACATTTTGGAACTCACAAAGCCAGGGCAAGGAGAAAGAGAACAAAACAAAGCCCTCAGCTTTTAAGAAAATTGAATTATTTTTTTCTATCAAGAGATGATGGTGAAGAGACAACACCCATGGACTTCACCATATATCCACTTCTATTATTAAAATTAACCTGAAGCATAGTGTAAAAATCATGTCTGGTGCATTACTTGAATGGAACAGGGCGTGCTATACTCGTCTGGTAAGGGGTGGACCATCAATTTTTTGAGGGGGGGGGGTTGGTCAATTTCCAAAAAAAATCCTGCACAGTAAAAAAAAAGTATACAATGGGAGTTGTACGAGAAAAAGTGCTTTCTACTATCCAGGTCCTGTGTTTGACTTTAAAAAATTTCTTGCACAAGCTATTGCCCACCAAATAAAAACTATGCACAACCTAAAGGGGAGAAAAAAAATTTCACACCAGAAAATTGCCCAAGCCCTCCCCAACCCCTAAAAAAAAATGATGGTCCACGCCTAAGTCCTTGTGATTGTAACGGTGTATTTACCACCATTAGTATGTAAGTGTACATTTATAGTCATAATTTGATAGAAACTTCAAAATCAGGACCACCTGTGAGTCTGGCAGCCTCTCAGTAATTATAACAGGTTGCTGGAGACTCAGAAGGAGCTGTGCTCTAACCTGTTGCATATGAGCGACTTGTATTTCCAGTTGAACCACTCTTGATTTTGCAGTATCTGCATTTTCAAATAGCTTGTTGTCTGTTGAAAAAAACAGATTGTTGCGCTACAAGTCAAACTTATTGCACTTTTATAGTTTTTTACTTGGGGTAGAACTAAAGACAGGAAAACAGAGCACCCCAATTTAAACTGATATGACTTTGTATAGGATAAGGTTAAGGATATTTCCTATTTTTGTCTTGAACAACTTCATCTTTGTTTTACTCTGTCACTACTCTCTTCCATGATCCATAGGTTCTTTGTATCTGTACATGAATATCGACCTCTGATATCAGCATCTTCTCCATACACTCAATTGTGGTGTTTTTTTGTCGCTTTCAGTAAAACATCACAGGCTCAAATTACACACACATGAATATTTTATTTATTTATTTAAAAGAGATATAAAGTTAATAATTTGACATGCCCCCAGGTACCAAGGGCAAATCTAGGCAGGTCATGTCTTAACAAGATTAATGAAATAAACATATCACAAAGATAACAAACTCAAGTAAAAGTGAAACTTGAGTATAACAGAAACATTTACATTGAATATCACTGTACAGCCCCGCTCACACATTCCTATGGAAAATCATACTGCAAGCTGAAGTGTTTGGACCAGTTTTTGGTTTTAATCAGGTTGCACAGACCTTGCTGGGTTCACTCTACACGGCCTGACCTTTAACCAAATATTTTCCTACCTTTCCATTCAGTTAATAACTTCACATTATAATGTGTGCAAATTATTTCTGTTGGTTACTATGGCAGGATGCAAATTGAATTTTCAATATTTGTTACACTTTCCCTTTCATATTTTGAGCTTAAGCTTAAGCTTTATAATTTGGTGAATTTTTTTCACATGATTTCTATTTTCGAATATTTCATTTTCAACATGATTTGCAAGAACAAGTATCAAATATCCCAGAAAAAATATATACATGGGCTTTTCTTATTTTAGTCGGAACAGATTTGTTTTGACATTGTTATTGAATAATAATAATTCCGTGACAAACACGCAATGAAGTGATTCGAGGTCTGAGTGAAATGTCCTGCACGTAAACTTCACTTCTTTCTACCATTCCAAGTCAATATTAAAGGTACATTCGATGAAATAATTTGCTTGATCCTTTTAGATCGCTGCAAGCCTCCGTATGCAAAGTTCCGTGAAAGCAAACTGCGGATAAATCTGCATGTTTTTTAGTATCAGCAAAAACTGCTTTGAGGACAATTCTGTGAAATGCTGCGAAGTTGCGAAGCAGTAAGAAAGTACCAAAGTCTTCACTTACGTTCCTTGATAATGTCTCTGAAACAGTACCATTCCCCACGATCTCTTGCTTCTAGCTTCCCCGAAATTATTTTCCTCCAACTTTGCCTTTCCCTTCGCGCCATCTTGTATGACTGGGGACGATAGACGTCCCACTCAAACCGAGTAGAACATGGGTTTGAATCCAAGTCGTCGTCGGAATATATGAGTCCGCGAGCTTACAGCGGTAATTTTGTCACAAACAAAATGGCGGACAAAACATGCAGACTTCTCGATGGCAAAGAAGCAAGCGATTTCATAGCCTCGATGGATACTTTTGTCTTTGATTGCGATGGTAAGTAAAGGAATAAGTTAAAAGGTCGTTTTTGGTACAATTTTAAGGAGGTAATGTGGGAAATTCCAAAATTACAGGGGTGCTTTGGAATGAAGGCGGACCTCTGGAAGGGGCGGTGGAAGTTTTGCAAGAACTTCGAAAATTGGTAAGAAACGTCTTGCATTGCCAAACAATGAATTGAGTTGGTAAAATCATTAAGACATCGCACCGACTAAATTAACTAAATTGTGCGCTAGCTAAGTTTTAATTTTCCTCTTCAGAATAAAAGGATTTTCTTTGTAACCAACAACAGCTCCAAGTCAAGAGCAGCTTATCTTAAGAAATTTGAGAAGTTTGGTATTGAAGCTTGTGAGGTATGTCCTGTGTTCAGTGTTCTACTGTAGGAATAACATTTATTTCCTCATAGCATATATAAGCAATGGAAACAAGTGCTGTAGCAGCACAACTCTCTGCACGCACTGCATGCCTATAATGCTAAATAAGAGCTATTTTCACAAGTCAGTAGGCAGTTTCAGATCAAACCTCTGTTTCAAGGTGTACTTAGGTATTATCTTTTATTTGCAGGAAAAACTTTGAGCCAGTCATCCTTTTGTTGTTGTTAAAAAATATCACATAGTATTATAATAATTTTATGGTGGGGAGAATTGAGACCAAGTAACACAATTTTTATTCTACATTTTACATTTAATTTCTTTCACAGGAAGAAATCTACTGTACATCATATGCTGTGGCATATTACTTAAAAGAGATCATCAAATTTGACAAAAAAGTTTTCACGATCGGTACAACAGGGATGGTAGAAGAACTGGATGCTTTGAATATTCCTCATACTGGTTCTGGTGTAGGTTGGATATTATTTCTTGATTAAGATTTGACATCAAATTCTGAAGTAAGTTAATCACATTAAGGGAGATGCAGTGGCCTCATGGTAGTGCACTCGCCTCTGGATTGAATGATCTGGGTTTGAGTCCTGGTTGGGAATATTTTACTGTGTCGTTGGGAAAGACACTGTACTCTCACAGTGCCTCTCTCCACCAAGGGATATTAATGGGTATCGGTGAATTAATGCTGGGGGTCCGGTAACCCTGTGATGGACCAGCATATCATCCACAGGGAGTAGTTCTAAACATTCCTTGTCACTTCATGCTACAGAAACCGGGATAAGCTTCGCTTGGCATGTATGCGGACTTTACCTTTTTTATGTGCACATTGTGACTTTGTGGTGATTAGTTTTACTTGATAAAAAAATTAATAAACTACTGACTGATAATATTATTCTAACTCATTTTCAGCCTGATCATTCATCTGGTGGCTACAATATGCAGGAATGGACATCATTCACTCTGGACCCTGAGGTGAAGATTAAAGGGGCTCAGTCACGGCATTTTGAGTTATTTTGGCCACATAAAATATTACCTATAAATTGAAGGAAACCTGAAAATAATAGCTTATAAATGAAAACAGAAAAACACCAAAGCAATAACAATAAGCGATAAAGGAACAATGATGTTTAAGGATGACAAGAAGATTGACAAGGAGACGAAAAACTTGAAAACTGTAGGCTAAACTTTTCAAGATGGGCAAACCGTAATGTAGCTCCTTTAATGTTACGTTATTTTGTGAATAAGATCAAAACTTATCAATAAAAGCAATACATTTTCCTGTGGACTTTCTATGTTATTCTCTGTTTTCATATTGAAGGTTGGAGCTGTAGTTTGTGGATTTGATGAGTACTTCAGTTACCATAAACTCATCAGAGCAGCTAGTTACCTTGCAAAAGAGTCCTGCCTTTTTATTGCAACAAATTGTGATGACAGATTCCCATTTAGCAATGGTGATGTTGTTGTTCCAGGTGATTCTTTAATTGATCTTTGAACAATTTTTTTTTAAAATTGATTCGACAAGTAGTCTGTTTCATTTTTTAATCAATGTCTAATTCTGTCAAATATTTCAAATTTATGTAGGGACAGGCTGCTTTGTGATTTCTGTGGAAACAGCAGCTAGGAGGAAAGCACTAGTCATAGGAAAACCAGAGAGAGTTATGTTTGAATGTATAAATTCACGGTAAGTAGTAGTCAAGTACAACTTAACTGGTCACAGTTGTAGGGCTGCAATGTGTGCAATGTATTACACTTAGCCTTCTGCTTTCAGTCTCTTTTCATATGATATGGCTGGTATGTCCTGGAATGTAATGCCAAATGTGGCAAAATTATAACTAATCAGAATAAAATTCCTTGAATGTCAAAACATCAAAACAGACCCTTCCATATTCATAAGTGTAAAATTATTTACAGCCATTTTATTATTATCATGTAGTTACTGATAGTCACAGAAACCAACCATATCAAGGAAACATAGGATAACTATCTGTTGACATGTTTGTCTTAAGTTAACATGCTTTGTTTCACTAGAATAGAGAAGTGTGCCTAAAAGCTCATTTGCCTTACAGTGTATATCTTGGCATTTCAGTGGACAATTTTAATTTAAAAATGTGAACAGACCTTTTACCCACTCACTTCACCCCACTCTGAAGAAGTACTGCTATTGCTTTATTGATTAATACAATTTGCACATTTATTATATAAAAGCCAATGAAATACCAGTTGAGCTTTTGCGCAAAAACATGATATCTTCACACATGGAAATAACATGTTATCTTCACATGTGAAAAGACCACCATTGCTATGCAAACGTGAAATGGTTTGGGATTTCATTAGTGTTTATATAATAGAATTTAATAGAACATTACATGGCCACTTAGAGATACGAAATTTCTTTTCTTGTGTTGAAAAATATTTCATTCCTTCACTGCACTCACTTGTGAAATATTCTTCAACACTCAAAGAGGAATTTTGTATCTCCGTGCGGCCATGTAATATCCTCTATGTATTGTGTAGATTTCAGTTTATTTGTCCAGTGATTGTCAAGAAATATCTCTTGTAAGCAGTTGTTTTTAATAGAAAATAACATTTGTTGCAATGACATTTTTTTCCTTTCATTAGTCATACTATTGACCCAAAAACGACGTGTATGATAGGAGATAGGTAAGAAGTACTGACTTTATGGTAGACCATTTTGGATTTACCTCTTGCCTCAAAGTGAATCCTGGTGACAGTGCAAGCATTCAAATGAAAACTTGCTTGATCTGCATTTGGTTCAATTACAAAATGCCCATACTGATTTATGAGTGATCTGTATAGATATTTCACGGATTTCAGTAGCGCTTTGTCATTAGCACAGACTTTACAGCATTGAATCTTAAGCAGGGAAGAATTGACTAAGAGAAGAGGAACCATGATTTACTATGTTTGTCCTTTTAGATTGAACACTGACATCTTGTTTGGCAACAACTGTGAATTGAAGACCATCTTAGTGCTGACAGGAATCTCATCCCTTGCTGATGTTAAAAGCATTAAGACATCAAACAGTCCTGATCACAAACGTTCCATTCCAGATTTTTACATCCCTGGTATAGAGGCCCTAAGACTACCATTAAAATCTGTTAGCAAAGCATCTAGTTGACTGTAGTTATTCCATGAAAGTACAATTTATAAGTGGGCCAGGAAGGCAGGCTGTAATTTCAGATTAGAGGTGAAGGATTCATAATCATAACAAAATTGTTCTACGTTTTCATTAATGGCAGTCTTTGCTGTTGAGTGTTCTTATAATATTAGAATAACTTATTCTTTTTAGAACACTATTTAATTATATCATTATCAACTGGGAAATATCTTGTTTGGACACCAGTCATTCAGTGTGTACAATGCACATTGTCCGGGAAGTTAAGTAAGTTAAGTTAAGTAAAATCAATCTGTATTTTTATTCTTACTCTGGAATTCAGTGCACTAAGCAACTGAATATGAGCCATGTATTTATAATAAAAACAAACAAGAAACCTTTTTATGTTCTGTCACACATATCGTCCATGTCAAGAAAAAGTTATAGAGTGTTTTTTTTAGTACAAAATGTATAATATTTTACAAAAATGACAATTGAAATAATAATAAAAAATGGTTTTGCTCCCTGTTAACAGTGTTATTGAGACCACTAAATAGCAGCAATAATTGAAAGAATGTAATACTCTATCTCATCTATAAGCATTAACCCTGAACCCCATGTTTTTCTCTACCAAACTAAAGTAAAACTTGCAAGTAGCATTTCGCTAACAAATCAATACATTTACATGTATGCAAAAGGCACAATATTTGTACAGTCATTTAGCTAAACATTGTGCTTAAACTGAGATGTGCTAATGCAGGTACAAAAACAGTGCTTTACAAAAATATTTATTCACTAGGTCTAATGTGATCTTGCACCAGGAGTCTTAGAACAGCAACACGCTCATAGGTGAAACCACAACAGTTTGTGTATGTACAATGATGCGATTTTCCCCTCTTGATGCATGTTTATGTTCTCCTCAAATTAGATTTGCTAACTGGAAGGGTTGACTCTTAGCGTAAGCTTAACCTCAGTCGACTGAATCAAAAAAAAAAAAAAAA